GTGTGGAGCCGGCGTCAAACACCAGCCCGTACTGGGGGCACAGAGGGGACATGGGGTCACATCTCTGCCGGGGCTGCACCAAGTGTCATGGGGGTTTCTGAGAGCTGAATGTGAGCAGCGGAGGTTTGCACGTCCAACCTCCCTACAGCTGCCCTGCTCCACCTCTAACATCCCCGGTTTCGCCATTCCAGCGAGTTACTGCTCAGGAAGGAAGGACACGCAGGTCAGCTGGGGGATTTGCAGGGCAGGGAGGCATCCGGGCATGTCCCAAAAGGCTCAGGCTGCTCCCAGGCCTTTGGCAAATCTCACAAAACCTGACATTTTTTAGCAGACTGGCAGCAGAAAGTAGCAGGGGAGAGAGGTGTAAACCCAACAGGTAAACTGAACGTCTGAAAGCAGGGAAAAGAGTGCAGTCACGGGGAGAGGGCTGTGCTTCTTTCCCATCCTTAGCAAGGAGGCAGCACCACAGTTCGGGGGTGATCAGCCCAGTGCCCACCTTGATGAGGTTAAGCCCTGAAAAGCTGGGCTAGTTACAGCTAGTTGCAAGTGGAGAGGAAGGCAGAGCTGATGGAAGAATGAGAGGTGGAAAGGGGCTGGTAGTCACTCCCAGCCTTCCCCAGGTCCCATTGGGCACCTACTTTGTTCCTCATAGGAAGGGCAGCATCCTTTGCCGGGGTCAGGACCAGGAGGAAGACGGCCACCCCCAGCAGTCCCAGCAGGGCCGCCGAGCTCCAGCCCACCGCCCTGAGCAGGCGCGTCGGCATCGATGGTCTGTGGGGGAAGGAGGGTCTTTGGGAGGGTCTTCGGGAGGATCTGGGGGGAGGGACGGCCTTTGGGAGGGTCTCTGGGGAGGGATGATCTTTAGGAGGCTCATTGGGGAGGGATGGTCTTTGGGAGGGTCTGTGGGAAGCGATGGATTTCGGGGGGTCGTTGGGGAGAGCTGGATCTGGGAGGGATCATTTGGGGGCATGGCCTTTGGGGGGACGGTTTGCGAGGAGGCGGAGTCTTTAGGAGGAGGGTCTACAGGGCGGGACTGTGGGCAGGGATGGCTTTGGGAGGAGGGTCTGCGGGGAGGGAGGGTCTTTAGGAGTAGGGTCTGTGGGCAGGGATGGCTTTGGGAGGAGGGTCTGCGGGGAGGGAGGGTCTTTAGGAGTAGGGTCTGTGGGCAGGGATGGTCTTTGGGAGGGTCTGCGGGGAGGGAGGGTCTTTAGGCGGAGGGTTTGCAGGGTGGAATGGTCTTTGGGAGGAGGGTCTGTGGGCCGGGATCGTCTCTGGGAGGGTCTGCGGGAGGGAGGATCTTTGGAAGGGTCTGTGGGAATGGATGGTCTATGGTCTTTGGTCTTTGGGAGAGTCTGCGGGAGGGATGGTCTTTGGGAGGGTGTGCGGAGAGAGAGGGACTTTGCCAGGGCAGTCCAAACCCGCTTGCCCCTGCCCCGAACCTCGAGCCCTTCCTGGGGTCCCGTTCTGCCAGCAGCTCGGGATCCCCCACCCCCTGAGTGACCTGAGTGACCCCCTGGGACACGAGGCGG